GCGGCCTCGTCGGCCAGGCGCGACCTGGAGCCACACACCGTCTCCAGCAAGTCCGGTTCGTCCACGTCGGCGCCGTAGTCAAGAAGCAACATCACCAGCGCGATCTTGTTGGGACTTTGTGACTGCGCACACGCACACGCACACGCACACGCACACGCACACGCACACGCACACGCACACGCACACGCACACGCACACGCACACGCACACGCACACGCACACGGTGTGTAAACATCATAGTAAGAGGGGGGGGTTGATGGGGGGGGGGGCGAACACTGCGGCAGGCGACGTCGAGTGGGCTGGACGAGCAGCCCTCGTCGAGGTCGGGCGGCACGCCCAGGTCGAGCAGCGTTCGGGCCATCTCGACGTCCCCACAGCGCAGGGCCAGCATCAGGGGCGACCACCCGTCCAGCGCCGAGGGCCTGCGCAGGTCGGCCGGGCTCAGCAGCGGCAGCAGGGCATGGAAGGCGCTCGTCCAACCGTAGACGCACGCCCTCTCGAACGCTGCGACATCAAAATCATCATAATCACCGACTGTGTGGTGTGTGTGTGTGTCGTGTGTGTGTGTGTGTGTGTGTGTGTGTGTGTGTGTGTCGTGTGTGTCCCAGTCCGCCGCACGCGACGTGTGTGTGCCTTCGGCGTACCGATGCGCCCCTTGTAGGGCGAGGCCACCACTTCGCGTCTTCGGTTGTCGTCTGCGCATTGCCCGAGGAGGTACAACACCAGCTCCCCTTGATTCCCCTCACCTGCCGCATGCATGCATGTGTGTGTCGTGTGTCATGTGTCATGTGTCGTGTCGTGTGTGTCGTGTGTGTCGTGTGTGTCGTTGGTCACATGCGCGTGCGGCCCGCTGCGAGGGAGGACGCACAGGCAGCGTGGAAGGCGGCCTCCATGCTCCCGCCGCTACGGCTGAACGCTTGCTCCAGCGCGCCGCCCACCGATGGCTCGAACCACATCAGCTCCTCGCGCCGCGCCATGGCCCGAAACAGGGCCTCGCCCGCGCCCGCGCGCGCCGCCTTGAGCACCACGCACCATTCGACCTCGACGCCGAGCTCGACCACCAGCTCGATCGTGCGTGGGTCGCGGCCCTTCAGCACCGCCAGCATCAGCGGCAGCGTGCGACGCTCGCCGGGCTCGGCCCAGCCGCCGGCCAGCAGCCGGGTCACGACCCCACGATCGGGGGAGGCTGGGGCCACGAGTCGGCGCAGCGCGGCGTGGTGGCCGCAGGCGAGGATCCACTCCAGCAGGCATCGGCGTCGGGCGCGGCCGGCGAGCCGGCGCCGGGTGCGGAGACAGGAGAGGCACCAGGTGCGCCACGAGGCCTCGGGCTTGGGCTGGAGCTTCGTCAAGGCCTTCATCTCCGCCGGCATAGGTCCGCCAAAGTGTTGCTCGTACCACTTGGTTGACAGGTGGCATCAGCCGCACATCTCACACAGCGACACACAACGACACGCACGGCACACGCAAGAGGAGGGTGGATGGGGGTACGGAGCGCCAGAGGGCGGTGCCGTGGGGGGAGCCGGGGCCGGTGATGGCGCGCCACTGGCTGCAGGCGGCCTCGGCGCGCAGGAGCGACTCCGGACCAAGCCAGCGGAACACCTCCAGCACCACCTCCACGGGCAGGCGCAACCACACCGAGTGCTCCTCCGCGTGCTCCATTTATTCTCCAAATAAACTAAAATCTGATTCTGTGCTGGTGCTCTTTTGTCTGAAATTGTATGAGGCGCAAAGGAAAAAGCCAAAAAGGAGGGTACAAGCAAAAGTGGGATACCCACTTCGGCGCAAAAGGGTGGTGGTTGCGTTATGGGCTTTTGGGGTTTTTTTAGTTTTTCATTGTTTTTGGTCTTTTTAGGAGGGTTTCTGATTTTTTTGATTTTCGACCATTTTCTGACATTTTTTGTGGCTTTTTGTGTTTTGTTTTGTTTCAGTTCGATGAAACCCATCAACAGTAGCACCAACCCCACTCATTGCTGCTGCTCTCCAGCCTCTTTTCTTCCCAGGTTGGTGCATCACCGCCCACATTGCCCCTCCAGAATGCCACCAGAATAATTTACAACCCTGTTCAGTGAACAAATAACCATCGCTTGGCTGCGCACTTCTCGGACGTTCTATGTCGCTAGATGGCTGGTGCATAGCAACGAAGCCGTCCTAGCTCAGTCGGTAGAGCGCAAGACTCTTAATCTTGTGGTCGTGGGTTCGAGCCCCACGGTCGGCTATCTCCTTTTTCTTCGAGGGCGTCCCTGCCCTGGACTACGGTCCCTATGGCCCGAGTGATCCATGCGCTGGACAAATAGAGAAAGGTGATGGTGAAGCACACAACACCGCTACTATGTGGTACAACATCTTACAAGTAGTGCTGCAGCTGATCATCAGAAATATGCAACCATGTGGTTTGCCCAACACTTGTGATGCTGCAATCCTGCTTGGTGATCTCTAGGGGCAAGAGGATGTCCTCCCTCTTTGCTCTCTGCATTGGCCACCTTGCCATCTGCATGGAGGGTGCACATTCTACTTTGACAAGGTTCTGACAGTACTGCACATGCTCATGCTCATGCCTCATCCTGACAGAGAGAAGGACCTCATCTATCTGGTAAAGGTATCAATATCACTGCAAAAGCTAACACTGGCACAGCACTCAACAAGGTGATCAACACCACAGCAGTGATTGGTCAGATTGATCATGAGTTCAAGGTCAATGAAGGACTGAAGAAGCACAAGCAGAGGTGGAGGAGCTGAAGGCACAGCTGGCGAACCTCACAGCACACAAGAACAAGCTCACTCAGACTCTGTACACACTTATGACTCTGTACCCACTTTCACCTGCACAGCCAATGGCTAACTCACATTGATCAGTAGTCTGGTAAGGCGCCAAGCAACTGAGAGGTGGTGGATGGACTGGGTAAAAGGCTACTGTGACAAGTGATGGAAGGCAATGAAAAGCTGCAGGGGACTCAAGCAGCAAAATGACGCGCGAAGGTGCGTGTTATCACTATACCACCCTCTCCTTTGTTGTTTCTTCTGACACCTCATGGTGCTAAAGAAAGATTTACAGGTCAAGCGGCACCAGCAAGCTACGAAAGCCGCCACTTCGGCCAGGTTCGGAGAGCAGAATCGCTTGGTGGCGGCTGTGAAAGGACGGAGGACCATCAATGATCTACTATGTACAAGAGCGTCTCTCCTTTCAAAAGCACTTGCGATGAACAATCAAGGGACCAGACTCATCGTACTCCTCTCGGGAGATCCACATCTCCTGGAAGGCGGAGAGCGAGGCCAGGATCGAGCCACCAATCCACGCAGAGTACTTGCGCTCGGGTGGGGCGATGACCTTGATAGTGGCCGTTTCCGGCGCCAGGGCCGAGAGCTCCTTGTGCATGCGCTCGGCGAGGCCGGAGAACAGCGTGGTGCCGCCCGACAGGACCACGTTGCCGTAGAACACCTTCCTGATGTCGACATCGCACTTCATGATCGCGTTGTAGGTGGCCTCGTGGATGCCGGCCGACTTCAAGCCCAGGAACGAGGGCTGGAACAGGTCTTCGGGCGCGCGGAATCGCTCGTTGCCGATGGTGATGACCCGGCCGTCGGGCAGCTGGTACGGCTTCGAAACGTTGGGGCGCATCATCTCCTGCTCGAAGTCGAGGGCGACATAGCACAGCTTCTCTTTGATGTCGCGCACGATCTCGCGCTCGGCAGCGGCAGCGGTTGCGGTGATCGCAGCCGAGCCCCTCTCGGCAAGGAGCTGGGCGAGGTGGTCGGTCAGATCGCGCCCAGCGAGGTCGAGGCGGTGGATGGCGTGGGGCAGCGCGTAGCCCTCGAAGACAGGCACTACGTGGGTGACACCCGCACCGGACTCAAGCACGATGCCGGTGCCACGGCCCGAGGCGTAGAGTGAGAGCACGGCCTGCACGGACGTACATGGCCCGGGACCGCGAAGGTCTCGAACATGATCTGCGTCATCTTCTCCCGGTTGGCTTTGGGACCAGGCGGGGCCTCCTCGCCGACGTACGCGTCCTTCTGGCCCATGCCAACCACCACACCAGTGCGGCGCGGGCGACCGACGATCGAGGGGAACACGGCGCTGGGGGCTTCCTCGCCGGCCATGCCAGCCTTGCAAGTGTCTGAGCCGTTGTCGATGACCACCGCGTCTGTCATCTTGATGCCGTGTTGTTGGCCTCTAGGTGTAAACTTCAATTACTAACCAACATTTTGCTGAAAGAAAGAACATCAGCTCTGTTTTCTTTTCCATCACCACGCTGTCCCAAGAAGAAAAAGCGCTGGTTGGTGCGGAAGTAGTCGCCAGCGGCGTTGGCGGTCTGAGGAGCTCGAGCAGGTCCTCGGCGGCTCGAGAATGCCCTTGCTGATGGTCATCTCCATGAGCGCCTTGGCCTTCACGAAGCCCGGGTCCATGTCCTCCGAGTCGCCTTGCATGTGCGAGACGGCGTCGATCTTGATCCGTCAGGTGCTGCATGACTAGGGTCAAGTAGGCGCCGTCGAACGACTGATCGGGGAACTGCATCGCCGTCACGTTCCCCTCCTCGACCGACAGCTTCTCCTTGTCGCTCCCTACCGCGTCCTAAATAGGAAAGAGTTGTGTGTCGTGTGTCGTGTGTCGTGTGTTGTGTGTCGTGTGTCGAACCTGGAAGCCGGGGAGGGCCTCCCAGGCGGCCACCACGAGGGCCGGGTTGAAGTCGAGGCCCACCACCTCTCCCTCGACGCCGGGGTGCTGTACAGGGTGCCACCGGTGGAGGAGCGAAGGAGTTCGTCGGGGAGGAGCCACTCCAATACGCGCCGCTTGCCCTCCACCAGGACCGGCGCCTCGTTGATACGCTGAAGAAGAAGCAGAAGAACATGAGAATCTGCTTGTGCGGAATATAACGCTACCTTGAGGTGTGCGGCAAGGTCGATGGGGGCGCTGTTGCCCTTCCACACACCAGAAGGGCGCTCAGTCTCGTTTTGTTGTGCGCTCGCCATGTTGTTGGTTTGCTTTTGCTTCACGGCCCAGCAAAGAACCAACGGTTGCGGCCACATCGTCCATGGCGAAAAAGAAAGAAAGAAAACGCAGCCCTCTTCGCAGCGCGTACAAGAGCCGACGTCGATCATCACCTTGACGAACTTCGCCTGTGCATTTTATGGAAGGAGGTCTGGGCCTACGAAACCAACTCAAACTTCTCTGCGAGTGTCTCCGGAGGACCCTGATGGTGGCGCACACACGAAGTCGTCAGACATCATGACAGGAACCACAACGTCTATGATAGAGTGGTGGGGTGGGGCGAGGTCTCACCTGGGGAGGCATGCCAGGCCAGATGACGTGGCACACGTCACCGCCGGGGCCGAAGGGGAGGGATCGGTCCTCGAGGTTGTGGTGGACGTGGAAGAGATCGGGCCGGCGGTAGTAGGCCATGGTGAGGAGCGTCTCCTCTGTGCCCAAACAGCCTGTTGTGAACCGACACAGAAGAAGTAGAAATAGATGAGAGGCCGGCCCTTGGAGCCGGAGCAACACAACACCTCGCCCAAGCCCAAGGAGATGGCTGGTAGTACCAAGGTCGAGCGTCTTGTTCAAGATGTACTCGTAGAGGGCGGACACCTTCTCGAGGGACTTCCTTTGCCCACCCATCGTCCAACCTGTGTGTCGTGTGTGGTGGTGTGGTGTGTGGTGTGTGTGTGTGTGTGTGGACGTAAGTGAGAATGGCAGATCACAGCAAAACCAACAGCTAACTTGTTGAACGCAAACGGCAGTGCTGTACCCTTGGTGATGAAGCAGGGCGGTTGGTCAAAGGTGAGCTTCTGCATGGCCTCGCGGTAGCAGCCGTGGAGCTCGTGGCTCATCGCGTAGGGCGTAACCGCCATGAAGAATCGGTCCAAGTAGTGCCTGTAACAAATACCACTCCATTAGGCTAACGTCGCTATCTAGTAGTCACAAGCACGCACACGCACACGCACACGCACGCACACGCACACGCACACGCACACGCACACGCACACGCACACGCACACGCACACGCACACGCACACGGCGTGGTACGCACTTGACTTTGGTCTTGAAGTCGGGAATGGACATGCCATAGTCGGGGTTGATGCGGGGCGTGCAGATGCCGCCCGAGTCGAGCCACACGAAGTACTTGGTCTTGAACGGGTTGAGCACAGAGAGATCGCGCAGCCACAGAAGCTTGTGCATGACGATGGGATTGTAGAGGTCGCTGTAGCCCTGGGGCACGTTGGCGAGCCACGGCGTGGCGGGAATCCACCACGGCGAGTTGCGGATGATCTCGATGCTCTCGTAGTGCTTCCAGGTGCGCAGATCTTCGATCTCGATGAATCGCACGTCGACGCTGTCGTAGAGATGATCCTTGATATAATCGAAGTACT